TCTGCGGTCGCAATATATAATCATGGCTGTCTGACATTATTACTGTTGTTGCTGTGATCGCAGGAAATCATAATGGACCATGTTGCAAGTACCGGAAATTATTACAAATTTTGCCGCGATTAAAAGATATGATCACTAATGTGATTGGGATTGCGGGAAATTATCGCTGAATTCTTCACAATCACATATGATGCTCACAACGTTGTCGTTGCAGCATCAACAGTTGAGAACATATTGTCAATGTTAGTACCTGCAGTAGCTTTTTGAAAGTCACGTAAATTAACATAAAAACCGATTTTTACAGACATATCTCTGTTGTATTTTGTGACGTTCAAACTTGTGTTCTTAGATTGTGATTAAAATCCAAATTATTTTATTTATAAGAATGCAAACATTAGAGAACGATAGCATGGTACAAGGTGAAACATGTATATTTTTTGTTCTCTGATAGTTATCTGTAAACTGATCCGTCAGTTTAATTCTTATACTTGATGTCACCATATAATTTTTTTTTAGATTTTTGGTAATTCTTTTTGTGCCAGTATCCAATTAAAAGGATGTATACATGATAGTTTTTATTGTTTTGCACCATTCTTTTTTTAATAACCCTGTACTTGTTAGCAGTTTAAATTGTACAATCTATATTTAGTCAATATTGCAGTTCAGAATACGTTGGTTAGTTTAACTGGCCCCGTATGGTTCCTTGGTTTTGATGTTTTGCCAGAAACATGAGATGGCGTTGGTCAGTAGAATGCTTCCACATTTTGGTTATGGAACCAGGGAGTTGTTTCAAAGTCCACAAGACAACTCCTGTGCTGAGGTAAAAGTCAAATGGGCCCCAAAAACTTTGGTTTTCAGTTTTGAGATGTGTTTTCTCAACATCATTTTATCTGAAAGCAAATTTTAAAACTTCTACTGGACGTTGTTTTTTAAGATACAGTTGTGTTATTAACCTTTAAGATTTGTTTTACTATGCTTGTTTAGTGGCAACTTTATATTGTCCAAGAATGTTTCATCATCAGATAGCAAAAAAAAGTTTATTAGATTTCATGACTACGTTTAAAAACACTGCTATACCTTAGCTTTTGCTTGCATGTCATTTTTTGTTCTCCCAGTTTATTGAAAAAACGAAATTTTTCCCCATAATATTTTTATAAATAGGTGTAAGGAAGAATAATGTGTCTGTTGTTAATAATAGATGGTAATTATGAAAAAAAAAATATTGCTGAGAAACTTACTAACGATCCATGACCCATTAGCCTTTTGTGAAACTAATATTTTTTGTTTGGAATTTGTATATTTGATTATTGTGTTTAGTAAACTTTGCAATTTAATACGTGTTACGAAGCTAAAAAATATTATGCACTGTGATTATAGATAATTTTTGAAATTCTTTAAAATTTTGAACACATTCGACCAGTTTTCTGTTAAAGATGTTTCATTATATAAATGAGATACCCAAACAACCCCAGATTGTCAATGTGTTCTTAAGTTTAATAAATTTATTCCTGACTTCCATTAACTCGTACAACTCTGACCCACAATCTGGTTACTAAGGGTTTACTTTTACTTGTGTCCTCAATAAAGTAATTTATTCTTATTATATTGATTTTTTACTATTCAAACTCTTACTGATTCCTCAGTTTTCATTAAGTTCCATTTTATTTTAGATCATCTATGTCCAATATACAAATATTTGGGAATAATAAGTTTCATTCAGTAGTTCTCGGCTGTATTGCAGATGGAAGGTGATATCCGGAGTTCCTCCAGTGATTTCTCCGATACTTCAGCCAACTCAGCACTTGTGTCCGGTGACATCAACTCTACACCTTCACCCAAGAAATCACCACTTAAGTGAATCAGGTAACATAAAGCAGTTTATTAAGAGCATTGTGATGTATTTTATATGAAAACTCCAATTTTCAATGCACCAATTGTTTCACTTTTAATTTTTAACTAGCCAACCCGTGCGAAGCATTAGTACTGAATCCTTGTCAAATCCCACTTTTTACACAATCCCACAAATCCTACTCTGTACACAACATACAGTTAATAGTGCATCGTTGAACTCTACTTCTAGATTTATTTTACAAGAACTTGTCTCTTTGCAGCTGTTTATGCCGGTGCTGACTGCCAAGCTGCCCTTTCTCAGCTGCATCACGCTACACTTGCGTTCTCGTCTTTAATCTTTAACTCTATTGTTATTCAGATTTGTTTTTGTAATTTGTATAACTCTAATTATAACTTATGTATAAAGTTGTGTAAATTGTCCAACTGTGTATCATTTTTCACTTCACCATGTCATGATTTCTCAAAATGTATAGTTATTTCATTATACTCGGCATAACAATAACACATGATAACAAAGAGGAAAAAGAAATTAAAAATAGATTAATTGTAGCTTGAGCAACCTACTGGTCCCTAGTCAATTTGTTTAAGTCAAAAACTCTGTAAAAAAATACCAAAATAAAAATCAACCACTCAATTATTCTTCCAGTACTACTATATGGATCGGAAATATGGGCGCTAACAAAAGAATGGGGAAAGAAACTTATTATTTTTGAAAACAACATTCTGAGAAAATATATGGACCGATTCAAGATGAAGAAGGCTGGAGAATTAAGAAGAAAAGAGAATTGAGAGATGTGTATCACCATCCAGATAGTAGCAAGGATAAAAAGCAGGAGATTGAGATGGGCTGGACATGTGTGGAGGAGAGAGAACTTATCATTAGTAAAAGCTGTGGACCAGAACAAACCAGAAGGCAGAAGACCACTCGATAAGCCGAGTCTGCGATGGAGGAGTCAGGTGCTGAAGGATGTGGCTGTGTTGGGCACTACTGAGGCAGCGGAGAATAGAGAAGAGTGTAGAAGCATCGTTGGCGAGGCCAAAAACCTTCTGAGGTGTCAGTGGCCAAGGAGGTAAGGTAATAGTTATTATAGTTTTGTTTCAGTCAATAACTTTGAAAATTAAATTTAGGCACTTTAGTAACAGGCTGCATAACAATAAAAGTGGTGCAGGATGAAGAAAAATACTTTTAAAAACTAGATACAAAGATGTTAAGATGGAAACATTGTTGTAAAATCATATTTTAGAAATGTGTTTTATTATATAACATTTAAATAAATATATAAATGTATCAAGACTACAAACATAAATGTTAACCTTCCATCGGGCGCATCACGGAGTTTTTGTTTTAACCATATTGACTGAGGATGCGACACTCCCTGGTGTGGATTAAGGTCCGCACTAGTGAGTACAACGACTATCCGCTGTACTATCCTGATAATTAGACCAATTCGTTAATACCAAAGCAAAAATGTGGTTCGGATTCCACTATAAACTGTAGGTCCCATAGTTGCCATTAGCTGAATGCTATTAATTAACAGCTGTGTCTAAGGAATATGTCGGCCTTAGTCACTAACAAGACTACAAGATCGCACCACTCATCCTACACTCATCTACATTCATACTTGGCTTAAAATACTTACTTTCGTATGGTCGCCATTTCAATTAAAAGTATTAAAGTGCGACACACTTTTCTACACTGGACAAAATATTACAAGTAAGTGCAGTCGCAAAGTTTGCCGGGGATAGCTCAGCCTACTATGGCTGGGTGAAATTCCAGGGTCTGCGATAAGGTCAGGGAAACCATTAGGCCAAAAGCCGGGTCTAACCGGTATAGGACTGGCTCATACACAGGCACTGTGAACTAGTCAAAGACAAGTCACCAACACAAACGTGCAATAATCACTACTAGGCCTAAGCCGATTCTCCACTCTCCTAGGGGGTCGTTGCTGACTACGCAACTCGGGCTTCGTGCTAACTATCCAATAGTTAAGCCCAGAGTGCCTAAAACAAAGTGAGTTACACGACGACTTGCTAATAAAAACCACAACGCGAGTTATCACCAGGCGGGGTCTACTCGGTCACTATAACCCTACACACACAGCTCTAATGCCCAAGCTAATAATCAAACAGTTCACTCAATAATATACCAGATAATAATACAAGTACACTATAGGCAGAGTGACTAAACCTCTAGTAGCTGGTCTCAATAAATACCAAGCCAAACAAGCAAAACTGATTGCCAATTGCACTACTATTGAGCTACTTAGTAGAAAATAAATAAATATTAAATACGTTCCAAACACTAGATAAATATATTATCTGATAGCCGGTACTTCGCTATCCAAGCTACCAAGATAACGTGTTGGATTACTAAACAAGCTGTTCAGGTTAAATAAAAAACAATTTTTTTCAACATTTGTTTTATTTATTTACAACGTAAGAAATGTGTGAGATTGAAATAAATAAATTTGTTGGATTGTCAAGTTAAAATTTCTATCATAATAAATTTAAATTCCACTAAAACCTTAATAATAAAAGACAAAATTAGTTATAAAGAAAACGTTAGTTTCCTTTAGCACTAATAAGGTTTATATTAGGTACCTGGCTTCTGTCTCCGATCCTCGGAAGTTTTAAGAAACTACAGCTGTTTCATGCCTTACATTGGCACATCCTCAGGTTTGGTGAACGCCAGCTTTTCTATAAGTCGCGACTCATGAAGACGCGACCTATCCATCACCGGCGCCGCATCACGTTTCGCAGTCGTTTCTTAATTATTAGTGTTTAAATGTTTCGTGTGTAAATGTCTACATGTTTTTCGTAAAACCATGACGAACTCATCTCCGAGGGATATTTTATAGAAAAGCTGGCGTTCACCAAACCTGAGGATGTGCCAATGTAAGGCATGAAACAGCTGTAGTTTCTTAAAACTACCGAGGATCGGAGACAGAAGCCAGGTAATATAAACCTTATTAGTGCTAATTTTAACGATCCAGTGTCCAACCATCATGAAGTTTCCTTTATATTGCTTTACAATCAAAATAAACATACCGAGACATGGCTCGGTCCCCCAGGACTCAAAGATAATAACCCCAACCTCCCCTCTCGGGTATCTTTTAAAACAAATCTTTAAGTATTAGTGCAATTATGGAAAACTTATTTTTGGTTATTTTTGTATATACAGTATCAAGCCTAAAATAATATCTGCGACTAGACCTTTTTTAGTGTTCAAAGTTGGTAACACTGGAGGTTACACCAATTGAAAAGTTTAAACTGGTATTTCATTTCAATCTTCTCTGAAGAAGTGCTGTATATACTCTGGTCTGAACTCTATCCCTAATGATGACTGTTGTTGTCTAGCCAAGGTGTATGTGAGAAGACAGCAGTGAGGGACTCACAGATATCGGACGGTTGGACATGCGAGTCTCTAGAGCTGCACGAGCTACCTTCCTGTCAAATGTCTCCGGGGACAGTGTTTGTCTGTAAAAAATTCAATATGGATCAAACTGATGTTCTTCATATCTGTTGACATTTACCGTAGTAAAGTACTGAGTGCATATTCTAGCTTCATTCGATGTTTTGATTGTGTAATGACCAAATAAACTTGAGCACAAAAACACTGACCAACAAAATTGAATGCTAATAAGAATAATAATTTCTTAAGGATCTAACGATAAACAAAACACAACCACACAGTAAATATACCCTGAACACTTTACTATCAAATAATGTGTATTGTAAAAATATACACTCAAAGTGTCTAAATTTAAAGTGTGCTGTTTTATTATGTATCAGAGTGTGCAGTCACCTAAAAACTTACCTAAAGGGATGGTATAGGAGTTCTACAGTATTTCGAGCTTTACGTAAAGTGTTCTCTTTAGTTTATCAACAATCTGAGCCTTACCTGAGGTGTTCTCTGGGTTCTGCAGTCATCTGAGCCTTACCTGAGGTGTTCTCTGGATTCTGCAGTCATCTGAGCCTTACCTGAGGTGTTCTCTGGGTTCTGCAGTCATCTGAGCCTTACCTGAGGTGTTCTCTGGATTCTGCAGTCATCGAGCCTTACCTGAGGTGTTCTCTGGGTTATGCAGTCATCTGAGCCTTACCTGAGGTGTTCTCTGAGATCTGCAGTCATCTGAGCCTGCGCTCTGCCTTCTAGTAACTCTCTTTCTCTTTGTCTCTGAAGAGATCTAATCTTTTCCTCTTTGGCAGTTATTTCTTGTCGTACACTCTGCTGTCTCTTCTGTTCTGCTTCTCTCACTCTAAAAAACAAAAATACTGAGTAATGTACATTGTAAACAAAAATGTATGAACTTTAAAAGAATACTTTAACTAATTTACAAATACACTAATGTGGTAATACTACTACAAGCACACATGCTAATCAACGACTTAATATAGAATCTGTGAGCAAGTGTGTGCTAGTAGTACACAACAGCCCGCTAACTTCCACACTTTCAAGCCAAAACATGGTTTAGAATTATTAAGCTGTTTCAGATTGTACCACATCTGTCTGATTTATATTAAAAGAGGTTGTTTTTCCTTTTCTGAGTCAGTTCGGCTCTTCTACACGACCGATTTTCATAATTTTGATCTTAAATTAAAAGTATACACGCATGAATTTGCCATCAAGCATCAGCATTAATTTATCTGGTCTATATATATATATTTCTAGTCTTTCTGATTTATTTATCATTTAGTCAAAAGAGTTACTGCTAATCCCTATGACCTCAAAACATTTCAAACAATTTATAAAATGTTTGTTTAGCTTTTAAAACATATACATTTCAAGTACAAGTCCCATTTCAAAAGTTGTTGTAAATTATGTTATTTTCCCATAAAATAAGAGAAAATCGTATTTTATAAATACCCCCGCCGCAGCAAACCTGCCGACTAAGCGAATTTCCATTTGTCTTAATTGATTTTCAATTAAATATATTTTAATAACATTAGGTTTAACGAGTACCTAGGTTTGCTGTTACAAGGAAACTAATAAAGTGTGTTTTTTTGTAAAATATTGATAGCTTAGTACAAAATAAATAAATTTGATCAAAATACAAAATATACCCTATCCATAAACAAGCAAACTACAACATTTTACAATATTCCCCATAAGAATAACATGGGAATTTTAAATTTACAATTTTTTAATTTTCTCCGTTACTATTAACCGAACAAAAATACTTTTATATACTAAATTAATTGTTTTTTTAAGCTCTTTAAAAAGGTCTAAAGAGAAATTGGTAAATTTTGTGTTTTGAGGGTCAAAAGTGAGAAAAACCAATTTTTACCTCATAAAACCCCCCGTAAAGCCCCGTTCCCATGGTCCGATCATGCTGGTTCGCGAACTCATTCAAGTTTATCCCGCTTTACACCTTTAAACCAAATTTCATCAAAATCGGACAAAAATTACTCAAGTTATCGCGTTCACGGACGTATATATATATATATATATATATTTATGTCTATATATATATATACATATATAAAAATTTGAACGAATGGTGTTTTTGGCCTCTGGGGACATCAAAATGAAAAAGTAAATCGGTCCCGGGTCTAGGTCTTACCGTGCCTCCTACGGTAATAGCTACTTCCCTATAGGGAAATTCGCTAAAAAGGACGGTTTTGGTTCAAATTAGTATGTGATAATCGTTATAATTCTTAACAACATAGTGCAACCCCCAATTGCTGTAAAAATTGTGGTTCAAAAGTTATTTTACCTTATGTTATTTTCCCGTAAAAAACCATAAAAAAACGGCAAAAAGGATTAAAAAATGATTTTGATTTAAATTTGTCTGTTATGGTCCTTATAATTCTAAACAAAATATTGCAACCCCCATTCCTCTAAAAATTGGACCGTAAAAGCTAATAAAATGAAACTTTTGTGATTTTACCCGTTAAATATCATAGTTAGTTACTCTCATCGCTTCCTCATGATAAAGGTTGTTGACAAGATAATGGGAGAAAGTATGTGTCAGATTGCTGATACCGTTTATTTTCTTTTTATCTATTTTTTTCAGCAATTATTTTATGGTTTTCTTTTCTTTTTCAAAGTTTCTTTCATTCTATGTTTAGTAGTCTAAATACCATTAAGTTGAACGTGGATATCTTGTGTTCCCATCAACGATCACATAAGACCAATAGATGGAGCACGTTGGCCGCGACGTGAAGCCAGTATTTTTCACTAATCTTCACCAAGATGGCGGCTGCTGGCTGTGATGAGCTCTTAGTAGCATGAGCAACTAATTAAATGTTAGTTGATATCAATGCGCCTTTGTATTATAACTATTTCTTACCAACACAATGACCTTCATATATGCTTTTAATTTTTTTTCTAGCGTTTACCGTTTCTTAGAAAAAGTTAGCCATAAGTAACAACAAAAACTTTTTGGGCAAAAAAAAAATTCTGAAAAGCTACAAATTAATTTATAATATAATATGTATCTATATTATCATTATATATCTATATTATATCTATATTATATCATATTATATTATATCTATATTATCATTATATATCTATATTATATCTATATTATATCATATTATATTATATCTATATTATATAATATCTATATTATATTATATCTATATTATCGTATTAAAAGTTTGAAAAGTACTGGCGTTTGGTTTACAATGTACGAATTTTCAAAGTCACAAGATAGTTTGTGAAACTCTTTATACAGGGTGATTACTGGGAAACGCATGTTTTTGACTTTCAAAGTACATAAGGAATATCGTTCGGTTACGGCCGGAAGTTGTTTAGCTGTGGAGGGGGAAGTGTGCAGTTTCAATTTTTGCCAAGATGTGGGACCTTGAACATCGTACGTTTGTCATGCGTCGATATTACGCAAATGGTGAATTTTAACATTGCACGGCATGGTGCTATCCCTGATCGTAACACGATATTGCGTTGGATACATAATGTTAACTCAATTGGATCTCTGCTTAAGAAGAAACCTCCTAGACTGGCAAGGACAGTTAGTACCCCTGAGACAGTTGAAAGAGTGCGCCTTGCAACAGTTCAGAGTCCTAGCCGCGACGGCAGAGCAGTGACAGTGAATCCACAACAGTACCTAGAAATGTTGGAAGAATATTTCTTGCCGGAACTGTGCCATCAACGTGTTGAGATACGTAATGACGTATGGTTCCAACAAGATGGGGCAACAGTCCATAGGGCTCGCATTAGAATGGAATTCCTTCGCCGAACATTCCCTAAAAGAGTTATCTCACGTTTTGGTGGTGTCACTTGGCCGAGCGCTCACCAGGTCTTAAAATTCCAGATTTCTTTCTATGGGGATTTTCGAAATGTAGAGTTTACATAAACAAACCAAAAACAATACAGGAACTTAAAGAAGCTATTTGCCAGGAAATCAACACCATTCCTAGAGATATGATAGCAAAATCCGTAGCAAATTTTTAGGAACACCTTCAACACTGAATCCAAGCAGAATGCGACCTGTAAAATTAACAATGTTCTCTAACCATCACCTTAGAGATGTAATTTTTAAATGCTAAATTGCAAGTAATTTTATTCTGAAATTGCATATTGTGTACACTGTTTTTCCACTCATAAATACATTTTTTGCTCTGAATAACCTGAGTACTCGTTATTTAAAAAACATGCGTTTCTCGGTAATCACCCTATACAACTCTCCTTTATATTCTGACTGTCATATTAATTTTTGTGAAAGAGCTAAAAAATATTAATTTTTAGATGAATACAAAGAATAAAACGAAAAACATTTATATGTACTCCGTGTTTTTCTAATTAGTTTAGTAACTTTTCTGTATAGCTCCAAACTTGAGTATCTAAACTGTATTACAAGTGAGGTTGTAGGCGGAATCTGCCCGCATGACGCAACGTGGCCCGGCGGGTAGCCCCTATAGTACAAATTAAATTACAATCAAACCACACCAGCTAAAAATTTTAAAAAATATGATCGAAAAAATTCAACTCTTTAGCTACAAAATACGTCGTTTTTTAACGTACCTGACAAAAAAAAATAAAAAAGTAGCAGCCGACGAACATTTTCACGTCATATTTTAAAACTCATTTAAAAGTACCGACTTCATTTGAAGATTTAAAATAAAAAATATTAACTCTAAAGCTTTTAATTAGAACCAATAGTGTCATAGACTTATTGACATTTCTCATACAAAGTTTCAACGATTTTCCTTTAGTCTAAGTAGGATAAATGTCAAATTATTTTGAAGCGGAACATTGAGTTTTGGTGCTGTTTTCATCGGCATCTAGCGCTTCTATCCTACAGTAAGATGGCGGACCTGGCTTCAGCTGCTTGAATGTTAGTTAGATAGGCGTGCTCCATCTATTGGTCTTATGACGTGATCGTTGGTTCCCATGGATGGTTTGACGCAAATGGAATGATTAGGTCAGTTTGGGTAGGTTTCCTATATATACTGAAATTATGTTCATTGTTTTCTTTAGTAATTGTTATATCCAAGAAATTTCTTTTCTTTTCTTATGTCTTAATCGTAAATTTAATTGTTGGGGAGATTGAATTTATTTGAATGTCCCCAGTGTTCTTAGGGATTTATTCCCGATACGGTTACCCTGGGCCACTTTACTTTTACATTTTGATGTCTCTAGAGTGCAATATCATTTAGACTACAAATTCATTCTACATATTCTACATTCATAAATACATTCTATTCGTTCAATATTTTTAATATGCGAGTCCAAGAACACAAAACAAAGATAACCAATTGAGCAATATGTGGTTTGATTTTGAATAAATTTGACATGTTTTTGTAGAACTAAAAAATCTTAAATGATTTTGGAAACCTAACGAGCATTGATCAGACTTGAGAACGAGGTTTTATCGGGTTAAAATTGATTTTCTCATTTAAGCCTCGGAATACAAATTTCGCAACTCTTTTCAAACAATTTTGTTTAGCTCGAAAACTAATAATTAAGTATTTTTAAGCGTTTTTGTACACTTAATGGTTAAAAAGAAATCATAATCATACAGTACCATCATACTAATATTATAAATGTGAATGTTTGTTTGTTTGAAGTTCTAGTCGGATTGGGTTGAAATTTATTAACATGGGTACGTCCACTTACTTTTTTAACCGTTGTTGGTGAAGTATTTGTCTCTCTTTGTTTTCCACTTCGACCTTCATTTTGCGATCTTCCTTCTGTGATTGGACCACTGCCTCCGCTCTCTGATGGTCTGCCCACTGTAGCAACATCACCTACAACACAAATATGTAGCTGAACATTTCCCAAATCACCTTTACTAAATCCTTGATTGTAGCTTAGTAGTCCGTATAGTTGCGACAGTTGTATACAGTTAAAGGTCATATCAACGAGGATGGCGTGCAGGGACGTGTGGGAGGGACTTTTCCCTTACTCTACGTATGATTGAGGTTTCTAAGAAAGTTTTGAGATGGATATAAAAAATATATCAAGCAATGGTGGTTAGGGAAGGATTTTCTATAGCACATCCTGACACTTTATAATTTGACCTTGAACTTATCCTACAGCTTAAGCTACTACTTTTGCACTAAATGTAATATGGAAAATATCACTTTGCACTTCTCCAAAACACAACGAACAGGTGTTTGTGTTGACACAAATTGGCAACACTGGGATTATAAAAATACTAGAGGTTATAAAAATACCTGTTGCTCAATTTTGAGCAATTGTGAAGTATTACAGGCGTTATTTTTAAACGAATAACAGTCATAATTATCGATTACTTTAAAAGAGTCGACTCAAAGATTATAGAAATACTCACGATGTACATAACAGTTCGATATAATCAACATTTATTGAAAATATCTTATCATTTTTCAAAAGCTGATCTTGTTTTTTAGTGTTTTCTATGAATGTTTCCCACTCATAGCCAACTACACACACTTACACACTACATTAGGACTACACACACTAGGACACTTCATTAGGTTGTCCATAATAACGATTATAAATATATAAAAAAAACATTTCTATTTCTTCTACTTGGTGGTGTTCTATGACTTTCCTATGTTTCCATAGTTTGCAAAATTGGCTCTTTCAATGATTGATCATGAAATGCAGCACAGTTTTGATTCAGTTTCCTTTTAGCGAATTTCCCTATAGGGAAGTAGCTATTACCGTAGGTGACACGGTAAGACCTAGGCCCGGGACCGATTTACTTTTTTCATTTTGATGTCCCCAGAGGCCAAAAACACCATTTGTTCAAATGTTTGTGTGTATAAATATAGCCTATATATATATAGATTTATATATATATACGTCCGTGAACGCGATAACTTGAGTAATTTTTGTCTGATTTTGATGAAATGTGGTTGAAAGGTGTAAGGCGGGATAAACTTGAATGAGTTCGTGAACCAGCATGATCGGACCATGAGAACGGGGTTTTATGGGATAAAAAAATGGTTTTTCTCATTTTTGACACTCAAAACACAAAATATCCCAATTTATCTCTAGACCTTTTTAAAGAGCTTAAAAAACAAATAATTTAGTATATCAAAGTGTTTTTGTACAATTATTGGTTAGGGAGAAAATTCAAAAAATTGTTATTTTAAAATTCCCATGTTATTCTTATAGAGAATATTATAAAATGTTGTAGTTTGCTTGTTTATGGATATATTTTGATAAAACTTGGCAAATTTATTTATTTTATACTAAGCTATTAATATTTTACTAAAAAACACACTTTAACAGTTTCCTTGTAGCAGCAAACCTAGGGACTCACCTAATGTTATTTAAAAAGATTTAATTGCAAATCAATTCCGACAAATGGAAATTCGCTTAGTCGGCAGGTTTGTTGTGGCGGGGGTATTTATTTTTTATATCAAATTGTCCAGGCTTTCTCACTTTTTTTCCATTATAATATTCACGCCAACCCAAATTCGAATAGTAAATATTTCATTTCCACCAAGTCAGTAAATGTTTGTAGCAAACGTTTACTTAAATTGCAACTAAAATATTAACAGCAATTAAATTATCCAGCTGATCGTACAGTAATGTAAACAGATGATATGTTCTTCATAAGGATAACATGGGAACTTTAAAAGCCACTGGGACAGAGCCCAAGGGACTTTTTCAAAAATGGAAGGTCAGTTTGCAAATCTACACACCTAGACGAACATTTTGGTATATAAAATGTGAGGTTAAATCTTAAAACAAAAAAACCTTGTTGTTCGCAAAGTTTCATGTAGCGTATTAATAATATAGATAGATAGATGGTTGGTATATACTTTCAGATGAACTGACACTGTGTTACAGTATTGTCTACGTCTTAAATACAGCCCAAGTTTGCTTGTTCTTATAGGCCTAACCTATAAATTGTTAGGTGATTGCAAGAATTATCTGTGTTTTGGACAAATAATTATGATAATTGTGAAGACAAAAACAGCAGTTTATGCAGCATCATCTATGCCCTACCTGATCTTGCCAAGCCTCTAGTCCCCTCTCCAATTCCCGGTGCATCTCTCTCACAATGGCTGCCCTTTCCTCTTGTTCTGCCCTGTGTATAACAGTTTCTTTTATTTATTTTCCCTTTTAAACACTATAAGCCCATTGTAAGCAGGTTCAATAACCCATAGCTTCAAAGTTACATGTACAAAAGTTTGAAAAGATGAGGAAGAGAAGAAGCAAAGTGAGCTCAACATTAGGCGAGTTTATTTATGAGTTATCTTATGCCTGTAATACTTTGCAATTGCTCGAATTCGAGCAACAAATACACTAGTATAGATAGACTCGCCTTGTGCTCGCTGGGGGCTCCGCCCCCAGGCCCCCTTTTAATAGTAGCCGTGATGAGAAATTGTCACGGGGGACAGGATGTTGTCCGGAAACATTTTTTGTCAGTAAACATTTTTGCGTAAAAGACGTAGTAGTAATAACTTGGCAGTAGCGAAGTATTCCATAGGGGGGTTGTTTAGTGCAAACCAAACCAGTCTTGACATGTTAGAGTCTCGATGTAGGGCCGGTGCTATGATAAATTAAATTTGCTAAGTCACAACCTCTAAAACTTACTTCACATCAATAAGCATCGATATAAAGTATTTTTGAGGTAAAATAATATTTTAAAATAATCTTAGGCCCCCTTCGGGGGCGGGGGGTTGGTAAAAATTATCGGCATGAAGAATGGACCCCTTGCGCAGTAAAAATCACCAAAAATAGGTAAAATAAGGTAAAATTTCAGGTTTAAAAACGAATTTGGGGTGGAGATGGGAAAAAAATTAAACTAAACGCATGGCTCAATCAAATCCTGGTTAAAGTTCGTTCGCTACGCTCACTCACCTTCAGGTTGGAGCTCGTTCGCTGCGCTCACTTGCCTTCAGATTAGCTCGTTCGCTACGCTCACTCACCTTTTGGTTGGAGCTCGTTCGCTACGCTCACTCAACTTTAAGTTGGAGCTCGTTCGCTGCGCTCACTTGCCTTCAGGTTAGCTCGTTCGCTACGCTCACTCACTTTTAGGTTGGAGCTCGTTCGCTGCGCTCACTCACCTTTAGGTTGGAGCTCGTTCGCTGCGCTCACTTGCCTTCAGGTGTCCCACAGGCCATCAAAATTCCAATGTATTTCTTACGAAGAAAATATTTTGTTTACTTAAGGCGACTAATTTGTATTAATTACAGCTGTTCATAGTAAACACATGATACACACAACAGTGTTTGTTTTCAGAGTGAGTTCGTATTCAGTTTCAATCATTAGAGTGATTGATTTCATTACCTTTGAGTTGACTCTTTTAACTCATATCGGCAATTATGACTGTCATTCTATTTTAAATAACGCCTGTAATACTTTGCAATTGCTCGAATTCGAGCAACAGGTGCGCTAGTCTTTTTTCATGAGCGAACTACATGAGTTGGCATGTATTATGATTTTTTTTTTTCGACACCAACCTATAGCGAAACTGTTATTTACAAGATTTCATTGTGTTACAATGTGACGTTCTGTACAGGATTAGGCTATGCATATATTAAATCACACAATCATCCACAACATATCCATAAACATCCAGAGCGTAGATATCGACGTTGGACATCTGTTGGATATCTAATGGAGCTTTATGACCAAAAATTGAACCATATTCGAACATCGATAGGATATCCAAACATATCCTGACGTGGATATCCACGTAAAGATATCCCATAGATGTCTTTCCAATATCCCCCGTATCGCTGGGTATTTATGGAGATACATATAGTCTGGGCATAATCTATTTTAAATTTATTTAAAATTAATTTATCACTAAGAGGGTTCCACCTGCCAGTTGTTTACCACGGAAACATGGTCCTACAAAAAGAACCTCCTGGCATTATTAGTGTTTATCAAGTTGAAATGAACTATAAAATATTGACAAAGATCTAAACTATGCACTGACTGAACTGAAACTTTGTAATTGTTTCTTCAAGTATTTACAAAATCATTTTGAAATTCCATAAATTAGTCTTTTTTACATGCGATTTTAACTTCTAATTAATAGTTTTTTGCTCCACCCACTGCAAGCTCTGGTGTGTTAAGAGCACAACAAGCACACAATAATTGGAAACAAATTAGTTTTAGAATGTTGAGAGCTTGTACCGTAGAGGCGTGTTCAGGAACATTAGCATGTTTAGCCGCCATCTTAAATTGACCGGTTAGAACCCTCTTAAGTAAACAAAGCGCTTGTTGAAATACAAAATTATTATATCTTATCCTTTTGTACCTTAAAATTTAGTATTATATAACATTAATTTGCCAATATCACCAATATTGTACACAATCAACTTTTGAAAAAAATTCAAACAAAAAAATATTTATTATAGTGTCAATGACAAAATACACATCACAAAGAAAACAAAAATTGAAATAAACAAAATACTAAGCAGTTCCAGTCACATGACTAACCTCATTTGTTTTAGGCTTCTCTCTCTCCTCTGTCGGATCTCGATGTGTCTCTCTCTTGCTCTAGACTCTCTCTCCCGACATTGCCGTTGTTTCTGATGTTGTGTCAATGACTGTTCGGCCAGCAAGTCCAACATGTTCTCTTGATGTCTCACATCCTCACTTCTGTTGGCACTCGCTACTCTCTGTGAAAAATTGAGCTTGTGTCCGTATGTTGTTCTTGATAAACTACCCAATCATATCCAATCGCCAAGAAACTTTTAATTGTTCTGTCGGGGAAGGTTTTAACTGCCATTTACAATTTTACCATTGACTATAGCTGTGCCAGTTGTCAGAAATTAAAAGTGAGAAGAAGAACATATGTTAATTGTAAAATTGTGGGTATTTACTCAGGGGAGGTATAGAAGAGGCTACGATGACAGCTGTGGGCTTCTTATTAGCTGAGGGAACGGCATTACCGTAACAAAACGGTTAATAGCCATCGGCCTCGGTGGTCAAATGGTTAGCGTGCTGGGCTGATATACTGTAGGTCCCGGGTTCGAATCCCGCTGGTAGCGTTAACTTTTTGTCCAAGATTTTTTTATTATCAGCAAGTTTGGTTCGGTTATTACAGTTTAATTTTATTATTAAGTCATTATAAAATTTTAATTGAGCAATTTCTAGTTTTATTTAATAAGCAGAATTATTTTTCCGATTACTAAACTTTTGTTATATTATTTCTTTATCAGCAAGTTTGGTTAGTTCGGTTAGGTTATGATAGTTTGATTTTATAATTAAAAAATAATAAAATTGAATTTGAGGCATTTATAATTTTATTTTATGAACAGAACTATTTTTGACATTAGTAAACCTTCATTGCCAAAGTGCTCCCTACTACAGTGCTGTTCACGGAGGAATTTTGAACTAAATGCCTCATTCGTACCTCCCCTAAGTCAGACCCAAAATTGTGACAGAGAGGTTATGCAGAAAATCAGGTAGTTAATGGTTATTTGGTGCTATTAAAAAAAAGACTGAAATTTGTAAACGTACTGGCGACAATGGGTGATACCATGCAGACTACATTATCATTGACAAAGACCAACATGGACAACCTATTGCAGCTATAAGTGGGAAACATTTGTGCAATACACTAAAAGCCAGATCAGCTTTTGAAAAATGATAAAATATTTACAAGAAATGTTGATTATAACGGTTAAGTACATTGTGAGTATTATCATTAGTTACGTAATCTTTGAGTTGACTCTTTTAAACTCATTGGAATTCATAACTTATATTTTTTCTTAAATAAGTTATTTGTTTTTAAATAACTCCTTTACTTCTTTGTGATTGCAGGAGCGATTTCGAGCAACATGTACACTAGTTTACTTTAAATTTGCTTACTTTTCTTAATACAGTAGTGACTCTTCAAAAGTTGTCATTTTATTTTTAAAAAACTGCTGATTTGATATTAAGGGTAAATTTTCTTCTCTCCAACCTTTATACATGCACATAGTGTTGTTTTATTTTGTTATTTAATGTTTTACTTAAACCTGTTCCCTTCTATTAGACACTGAACCAAAACTCACCCTATGAATTTGTTCCTGCCTACTCCGCCGTTGAGATTCGGCTCTGTTCAATTTTTCCTCCAATTCTTCAATATGCCTCTGGAAAAATTCTTCTACTTCATCTTCTTTTTGTCTAAAATTTACATCAATAATTGCTTTTTTCAGAGACTCGTGAACTTGTCTTTCCCTCAATTCGTTACGCTACAAATAAAAAGATACCCAACATTAAAAAAAAAAGCTTTTGGACATTTTTTTTACAATAGATGATGTACAAAAGAATATTTACTGTAGGATTCCTGAATCTGAAATATAACTTCTACAGTTATTGGTGTAACTAGTAGGTGAAGTGGCACTTCGCTGCACATTGAAGAGAAATGTTTACTCAAGTGCAGCAAAGGCAGTTTGCACTCACATTACACGTTATATTTTTTCTACAGTTACTATAAAGCATTTAAATAATTAGTCTTTCAAACACTGTACAACACGTTTTCAATTTAGGTTAAATCCAAACATTGAAGGAAATGGGAAACGCTGCACCAGCTGATTGTAGTCGTAATATCTTTAAGTGTTGCCAACCTATATTTCCAAGGCTACACAAATTACGTGCATAATAAAAGCACGCTTTTTTGTGTTGTTTGGTTGGAATACTGGTGTGCGACAAAGTAAAAAGTGTGCAGCAAAGTAAGTAAATGCAGCAATTAGCAGCTTTCTGTACTATAATCAGTGCAAGGATGCCCACTTTGTGGGGTGACTGTAGGAAAATTACTTAGAACAATCTATTCCATATGTTTCAGGTATTATAAAAATTAACAACCACCTACTTGTGGTTTTCCTATAAAATACAAAGTGGTACAGTATATGATATTATCTAACTTTTACAACTAGACTGAAAAAAAATACTTTAAAAAACTTAAGACTATGTCTTTTTGTAATCCAATTTATTAGAAACAAAGTTTAGCCTAGCTTAACAAGTTAATTACTTCTAGAACTTGCCCATGCGTAGACGGGTTACATTCCTTGTTAATTTTAAAACTTACCTTCTTTTCTTCACATTTCTTCTTTAGAAAATTCACGTGCTGATCTCGTTTTTGTATGGTTTCTTCAAGTTTCTTTTGTGAATCTCTAAGGTTTTGTTTTATATCCTCCATTCTAAATAAATTTTGCAAACTATCACTTTTTTGTTTTTGTTGAACATACTTACGCCATTTTTCTTTTTGCTCATTTTCAGCCTAAAAAAGGATTTAGTTATATGTTAAATGTTTTTAAACTAACTCTAACTTACCACCCAAATATGTTACGCGCACTAACGACAATGCTCCACAAAAATATTTCACCTGAACTATCTAGTTATGGTCATCGACATATAATTTATATGTCGATGGTTATGGTGCACCACTGAAATATTAGATATGTACTATCCAAATATGACACATACATTTCCTATAAAATGTATCCCCCAAATGCAAACACTACCTACAATGCACCACAGTTCTTCTATCCCATGTGCATGTATCCCCAAATCTACAATTTACATTTTTTAAATATTCATTAATATAAACTGCATAAGGGTGTCAATGACTTTTTAAAATTGTAAAAATTATGGAAATAAAAGATGATTGTAAAATACTACCTTGATTCTTTCATTCTGTGATTTCTCCCAAAGCAGCTGAGATTGGTAGGCTATTTTCTCACTTTCAATCTCTTGTTCTTTCTTCAATGCTAGAATTTCAAGAATCCGACGGTCACTTTCAGGGATATTCAATAAGTCAATGTTGGAAGAGCTGTGAGAAGAATTACCATTCATTATAAAGAGTTAAGTTTTTATCTTGATCACTGTGTGTGAACTAAGACACACCTGTTAGTACAGGGACAATGATACTGCCTTATCAGGTTAAGTTTGTATTATCAGTATCACTATGCATTTCACCTTATCTTTACTCCTTGCAACTATCTTTTCTACCTTATCTAATTTCTTCCTAATGTAAAGTTGACTGAAAACCAATTTAACTGTTTATGAAGGATTCTAAATTTGACAAATTTTAGGAGACAGACATGACGTACTTGCAACCAAAATATATTTTTAAAGGACCTATTACATTTTTGGTCATTTTGATTTAAGTACTTTGAACAGAAAACATTGCTTACACATAAATTATGTTATTTACTTCATCACTTATGAATATATGTATGTTTTCTAAAATCAATCATAGTCCTAATTCAGAATCCTTGTCAGCATTTCCTTGTAATCATATTGTCAATGTTACCTGTTTTCTCAGTTGTGCTGAAACACTGACCATTATTTATCTTGACAGTAAATTTCTGGGATTATTAGTGTCAAGTCACAAGACCTATTGGCAAATCCAACATAAAATTGATTTGACAATGGGTCTTATGAGCTGAAGCTAGTAATCCTCGGAATATTATACATAAGATTGAAGATGGCCAAGGTACCTATGTAAGTAACCTATCATTTTCGAACATTCTTGGTGGCAATAATGTTTGAAAAATTAATTTCTATTCTATTCTTGACCTACATTATAGATAGCATTATAAATAGTTATCCTGCTTACTCATAAGCTGGTTTTCTCCCTCGTAGCAATGGTGTTTCACATCTTCCGCACACATCGTTTATAGAGTACGAGGAGTAACACAAACTGCGATGTGATCTGTTGAGGGGTTTAGTCTGCAGTTTGGTGCGTTTCTTTGACTCACAACCGTCATACAGACTGGATGTACTTAGCTTTGTATTGGGTATTTCTGTAGAGTAGTTGTTTTCCCTAAACTTACAAGGAAAAAGATCTGAATTGCTCGGAGATTTTATCTTTTTCGTCTTTCTTGTTCTCTTTTCAGAGTGGATGTAACAGTTTTCACAATTTTCATAGTTACTTCTTTTCTTATAAACCATTTTTTAAGTGCAGTGGTGTAAGTTAATCCCCAAGCCACAGGAAAGGTGGAGAAAATATTCAGTATGTTTGATCACTGTAAAATTTGTCACACCCTTCTTTGGTATTTTCTTCAATAGTGTGACTTTATTCCTGTGTCCTAAAATCTTAGTTTTATTTTATTATTTATAAAACATTGGGGCTATAACTTTTATCAAACTTATTACACTTATTTTGTTGTGTTTTCTTCTGATCAAACAAAAACCAGCAAATTTGGTTGTTAAGGCATAGTTAAATTTTGATATGCCACTGTTTAAATTCCATTGAATCCAGTTGCAATAATAAGGTTAACTATCATATATGAATTTATTCAGCTCTTTATCAAGTTTACATGTATCCATGCTTCTGTTTTAACACACTGATATAAAGCTGTCCATCCAAAATTCTAGTAGTCATGGTCAAAAAATCTGAAACAGACAAAACGTACATTTCTATGTTACATAAAAACAACAATAACAACAAAACATACATTACCCAACTTGAGTAAACCAGACTGAAACATGATTTGAACCCTCAATCTACGATAATTGTCTACTGGCTGGAGAGAAAACATCTTATTAATCACTTACAGATTTAACTATCTAACAATTTCCATAATCTTTGAGTCGATATTTTAAAGTCATCAGAAATTATGACTGTTATTCGTTTTTAATTAACGCCTGTAATACTTAGCAATCGATCAAATTCGAGCAACAGGTACACTAGTTTTATTAAAAATGTAATCAGACAAGTTGAAATTTGCTTAGTCTGCAGGTTTGCTGCGGCGGGGGTATTAATATGATTGTAACCTGATGAAGGCAGGTAAATAACTCTTTATGGTGTAGGTTACATCTACAATCAACAAATATCAATTATTGTAAATAGTAGATTTATTCACCTAACTGTCTGAAACAAACACAATCCTTGAAAGGTAAATTAATTGGTACCTATATAGTATATTCTTGTTTTTGCCTTTTTGAACGCTACTGAAATTTGTTTATAATGCTTTAAGTACCTGCATTCAGTAATCCAAATTGCTGCTTGTGGCAACTATAGTTTCGGTTCTGCTAAGGAACCATCTTCAGGCCATACAAGGGGACACGAGACATGTCGTATCGCATCTGTCTCCTACCCCCGAGTATTCGGTTGTTTTACATGTTAAATGTTTGTCTATCAATGTGCGTGTTCGTGTGTGTTTTATGTATTTTTATCTTCAATGAAGACCTTCACATACAGTGGGGGTGAACAACCTGGATGACACCTTGTATGGTCTGAAGATGGTTCCTTAGCAGAACCGAAAACTGTAGTTGCCATAAGCAGCATTTCGGATTACTGAATGCAGGTACTTAAACCATTATAAATATTCAAACTTAATCCGGAGGCTAACAACTCTTGAAAATGAAATTTTTTGTTGTTTGTGTACGGGTCGGGTCCTCTATACTTAGTTGGTTACTGCTACCAACCCCGCGCCGCGCCGGCTGCCGGACTAAATCAGTAGTATTATTATGATAGCGCTATCTAAATTTTTGTGTATTCGTACCATTTTAATGTTTTTTTATGTTTGTGTCGTTTGATTGTGTTTTTGACGAGTTGCAAGCTTTGAAGATGTTGTCTTTATAACGAAACATGTAAGCTGATGAGCAATATTAAGCGTTGGACTATTTTACGTAGGTATGTAAAACCTATTGTCTTATACACTTAGACCTAATAATATAACCAGAGGTCACCCCATTGTTGAAACCTCAACCAAAAATATGATTGTACAAACTTCTATATTTTGCAAAAGGGGCAATGTCACTAATAGAAATCTAAATTTATCTGATCAATAAAATTTATTGATGATTTATTGATAATACTCAAATTTAACACGATTTAATAGTGTTAAATTTGAATATTATCTGTATAACTTGGAACTAAGCGTTTTAAAGGTACAAAATATAATTTAATTCACTCACCAAACACCTTGGACATGGTTGTAGTGTTAGTGTATATCAGATACTGATACAGTATCCCTTGTGTCTGGCACTGCAAGCACCATACAATCAATACCCCACCTTGAGTAGAATTAACCCATTTTATCCACGCCTTTCAAACTCAATCAAAAGATCTTTCCATGTAAACTTTTATACGATTAAATTAAGCTTTTTTCAATAGATCATGAGTCACATGTTTACCTAATTAAAAACAGACAAGCAATCTTAAAACTAAAAACGTTTTGTTGAACAGATTGTTTTTTATTAAACTTTTACTCAAGGAAATATTTGAAAACAAATAAGACATAAAAGTATGTAATGTGATGGTACTACACAGTTCTTCATTGATTTATTCAATTTTTGAGTTGTTTTAACTATTTCTAAATTTGGTAAACTTAATTCATGAGTAGGTTTTGTTTTGCTTTAGCAAACTATTGAAGTAATATCTTAAGTTCAAACAAAAACACTCTGGTGAGATAGCTATGAAACTAAAAGGTGGAGTATTTAAAAATTTTCCCAGAAATAATTATAGCCAAAAGCTACCATATTCTTCATATTAAGAGCTCAGAAGGAGATATAGGGCATAGGATGAAACTAATTCCCAGTTTGATTTTGGAGTTTGATTTTTTTGCGAATTTCCCATAATCAATCTATTACTTATTTAATACGCAAGCAGGTTTTTTGTGACAATTACTCCTCCGAAGCTACTGAACCAATTGACATGTTTTTGGTGTCATTGGAAAGAGCGTAACGTGAAGTTGTGCAGGAAACTTTCTTTTTAAGGAAATAATTAGAGAGCCCTGGAGCCCTTTAAAGTTTCATATTTATCCATAAGATTAACATGGGAAACAAAATTTGTTATGGAACTCCAGCTGTTGTCAGAAATTAAAAGTGAAATATTTATTGATGGTATCCATGGTAACAAAGACAAACCCACAAAATTTAAAAATGTAAACAAGCAGAACTAACTGTCAAATTAATTTTGATTTCAAAATTCCACACAGCTGGTTCAAATATATTAAGACTGCATGATTATTAGAACAGGAACAGTAGGGATCATAAACATTAATAAAATATGTCACTCGCCCGAATCATTTTTGTCTATGCCCGAATGTAAACATTTAACATTGATTAAATGGAACTGTCAAACTATATGTTAATGTCATTGGTACGGAATTCTTTCAGGTACATCATTTGTTGATCGATTTTGTTTCAATATTTTTGAACTGCTGTAATAATATTTTACAGGAAATAATTGTTAGATGAATTCATGGATATAAGTAATAATTCAGATTCTTCAATCTTTGCTGTTATTAAAATTGTGTATCCGCAGCAAACCTTCAGACTAAGCGAATTTCCATTTACCTGGCTTAATTTATACAAAGATATTCCCTGAAAATGGTCATTTTTTTCCTATTTAAATAACATTAAGTTAATTTTAATATGAGTACTTAGGTTTGCTGCTACAGGGAAGGTAGGTGTGTTTTTGTTGAAATGTTGATAGCTAAGTATGATTGTTATTGGTTTGCAAATCCTGTAATACTTTACAATTGCTCGAATTCGATGATTAAATGATCATCATAATATTATGATTTAAGATTGCTTGTCTGTTTTTAATTATAAATCATAATAATACTACTGATTTAGTCCGGCGCGGCGCGGGGTTGGTAGCAGTAACCAACCAAGTATAGAGGACCCGTACACAAACAACAAAAAATTTCATTTTCAAGAGTTGTTAGCCTCCGGATTAAGTTTGAATATTTATAATGGTTTAAGTACCTGCATTCAGTAATCCGAAATGCTGCTTATGGCAACTTCAGTTTTGCCTTTTTGAACGCTACTGAAATTTGTTTATAATGCTTTACGTACCTGCATTCAGTAATCCAAATTGCTGCTTGTGGCAACTATAGTTTCGGTTCTGCTAAGGAACCATCCCTGTTGGTAAACCTATTAACTTTTTAATGCTATTGAACATCACAGAATCAAATTGTTTAGCTGCACCAGCTGTTAAGATTCTTTAATTCCATTTAAATATGAGTACTCATAAGGTTAACATGGGAAACTCCAGAGCCACTGGGGCGGAGCCCTATTGACGGATCTGCACCAAACTTCACACAAACCATCCTTGAATAATGACTTTACAATTGCTCGAATTCGAGCAACATGTACACTAGTAGGGAATAAGCCATTATGGGGCTGATTTACTTCTTCGTTTTGAGGTCCCCAGTGGCCAAAAACACCTTCCTTCCATTCAAATTCATATATATATATTTGTATGTGTGAGTGTGTGTGTGTCCATTAGCGTGATAACTCGAGCAAAAATGATCCGATTTTGATGAAATTTGGTACAAACGTGTAAACCTGCGTTTATTCAAACAAGATCGCGAACCAGCATGACTGGACTAAATAGCCCAGTCAACATGTGTCGTAAAACATCGTTTGAAGGGAAAAAATTGTAAAAATAAGCTGATTTTTTGCCCATCGACTACTACCATTTAGACAAGTATTCAGCCAAAAGTCCCCGTCCCTACACCCCTTGCTTCCCCCTGTGCCCCTCTAAACATATAAAGTGTAAGGGTTTTGTAAATCACATTTTCTCGATTGTTAAACAACATATTAAATTACAATTAATTTTATTGTCTTTGTTATAAAATTTCCTACAATCATGTTTAGTTAACTTTTGTCGTAGCAGTTACCGTTTTTTCGTTATTTGTAATAAATGTTAAGATTTATATTTTCATAATTTTATTTTTTTCACCTTAACTTTTTTTGCTGACGTTTTATGAAAATATGTTTTGAACAAAAGTTGTAGCTGCTTTTATTAGCTTTAAAATTATGTATAACTAGGTGAAACCCGTCGAAATCGACGGTTACTTTAAAAGACTTACGAAAATTCTTCTATCTGCGACAAAAAGAGTGAAATTTAAAAAATTATAAGCATTTAGCATTGTTTAATGAGTAATAATAAATAGGGTGTAGAAACAATAATGACTATTGGCTAGTTACAAAATATGGTTGATCATTCAATGAACGTGGGTATGGTATGAAACTATTAATTTGTAGAAAAGTAAATTTATTGATACTTACTTTTATACCCTTACTCTCCTCCCAGGGCCAATTACAGTATATCGGAGGTGATTTTAGCCTCACCAACAATGATCTTCGCCAAGTTATCTGGTCCTCTCTACTGCTCCAATGATTGGAGTCCAATCCAGGGCCACAGCTAGGGGGTCGTATGCCCTGGGTGGTAAGTTTCGGGGGTGGCAAAATTTAGGTTGCTATGTAATTTGTTTTAACCTTACAATACAAAAATGTTTATTTTGCATACTAAAGTGGTCTAGCCAATACAATGAAACGGACTTTTAAGGAAATATTCATCATGAACACGGTGGTGAGGTTCAGGGATGGGAGCAGCGGGCATGACGGACGACTGCTCAAAGTGAAAGTCGTTTATTGTATTTACAGGCGTGTGTCAAAGTGGAGTGCCGCCGCCCGCGCCATTCTACACCTGATCTTCTCTCCGCTCCTTGTTGACAGCTAGAGCTATATTTTTATAACATATATTTTTCTTAAATTATTTTTATTTCTATCTGAAATTAACGTGGTTTTAAACAATCATTAGCAGAGGCGGATCCAAGAATTTGTCAAGGAAGGGGCGCTCTTACATTTTTACTTTTTTCCATATATTGACGAAAAATGAGCTCATGAGGGTTCAAATTAGCCATATTTTTTAAGGTTGTGTGTCGGTTTACTGATAAAAAAACTCAAGATTGAGGATTGGTAAAAAATATCAGTTTTTGTTTATTGGTTAACATGCAATAATTTTGCCGTGGTCGCGGGTGACGACAACGAGTAGTTTTGGTGTTCACGGCGATATTGGCGGGCTTTACCACTAGGCCACGGCCTAGGGGCGGCGCAGCGTTTAGTTTAAAAATAAAATTTTTTAAACAAGAAATAGAAATTGTTTTATAAATGAATGATTTGGCACACTCGCGAGTAACGATAACGATGTCTCCATGATACCGAAAATAGTTGACGATTTTTTCCGCGATCGTGGCACGCGGGAGACGATAATAACGTTCCCGTGTTAGCGGGATATATTCACAATTTTACGGTGATTGCACGGAACGATGATGGTGTCCCTGTGATAGCGGGAGATGTTAAAGATTTTCCGCGATCGCCGACATTTTTTCATTTTACTTTCCCCCTGCGACTCCTGGCTGAATCCGCCGCTCATCATTGGGCAAGACAATCAAAGAATCAGCAATTATCAGCAAGTATAATTTCAAAATTATATAAAAGGGACAAAAATGCCACTTTCTGACATAATCAAGTCGTTTGCTGCTAAAAATCAAGAAAAAATAAAATATTTTATAAACTTTTTAAATTTAAGGAACTTTATGTATTGAGAGCTGTACTGTTCATGCGGTTAGCCAAATATTCAAGATTTTGTTTTATTTGTTCCTATAAAAATTGTACTTACAGGTTTAAGAACTACATAATAAAATACCAATTTTTAAAATTATTACATTTTAAATAACGTAATATAAAAGTATCACTAAATCGATACTAAAGGGCCAGTTTGTGTGCCTCGTGTTAAGACCACGGCCACCGCGTTAAAGGCGGTCGTGGTTAAGAGTGACAGTAAAATGCCATTGGCACTTTGAAAAAATCCACAGTTGCGTGGTGAAAGGGCGGCAAATTTAGGACCTGCCCCTCCCCTAGAAAATGGTATAGCTGCGGTCCTGGTCCAGTCCTTTCCATGGCTGCTTTAACTTGTTTCCACCATCTCTGTTTTGGCCTTCTTCGAGGTCGCCTTCCAACCACATTGTCCTTTAATAGTCCAGTCTGAATTCTTCGCCCTCAATACATGTCCCGCTGATTCTTCGGCACTTAATTTCGCCCCATTATATCTGTGCCGTTGTAATGTTGTCTTATCTGAATAATGCTTAATATTAATATTGCCTGATACTTCATTACAATCTGTCGAGTGGTTTCGGAGTCCATAAAGGACAAACAAACATATAAACAAACATACATTAGATTTTATATATATAGAAAATCATCTCGCCTAAATATTATTACTACATCATTATATGTCATTAGAGCCGTATAACATATTTTAAATACTCAATGTTCAGATTTTCGAGGTTGCCTGAATCCTGTCAACATTATATGATAATAGGAACAGCAGTTACAGTGTTACATACGTCACTCTTGTCATTATTAGCAGAAGATTCATTTTGCGTTATTTGTTTTTGTAAAAATAACATTATTAGTTTGTTTGACTTGTTTTTTATATTATTTACCCTTGGATCCATAACAAATTTCGAAGCAGGTAACTTTACAAATTTGTATGGCTTTAAAATCCGTAGTCTTGATAAAACCGTTATTATTCATTTCTGTAAATACTTCAACACTAACATTTCAACACTAAATAAATACTTTTATTTTCTGACCATACCCAGATTGTTTTGATGTACGGTAGGCATAATTATACAATCATGTTAGTCAAACTGCATATTTTATATAATCAGATCTAGTTTTAATGGTGAAGTAAATGAAATTTTGAGGACCATTATCGTATTGTATTTAGCCCTAGGTCTTAGGCTCATCCTCTTACAGGGAAAGAAATTCAGAATCCCTTATTCATAATTATATTTCAGTATTTTAAGTTATAGGCCTATCCAGATTATATTCCTTGGAGTAAGTTATAAAAAAGGCAAGGTTTACTTACAATTGGTATTGCTATTAACCAAAAACTTAAGTAGAAATATATGCAGCACCAGGGCTACTTGGTTGTAGGCCTATTTAATGTGCTTCCCTAAGTTAGTCATCCACACACCTTACTATCAGTCTTTCCACTTTACTAAAACAACAATCCCGCTCACCAGGCCAAGAGAATCTAACTTATTGTTTAACTTATCCCGCTTGAGTAGGCCTAAACTTGAACATTTCCGTTTTTGTAAATGCATTTTACTAAAAATATTTTACCATCACAGGTCCATATTACACTTTATAGGCCTACCTACTTAAATGAGATTTTTCACCATATGATGCTATAGTTGGTTTTCATACGGAAAGCAGACGAAAATTAAAGATCAGATATCATAGTACCTATATAATCCCACTTTCATAGGCTACTGTGCATGGTCTGAAAATCATGTTTATGGGATAAAAATTTGACATCTGGAAACACTGTTTGAAACATGAAAACAACTATCGTATCAGGGTTGCCACCTGATTCTGTCGGGACAGTCCCGATTTTTTTTCCATTTGGTTCCTTATGCCGGTATTTAAGCCTATAATCCGGGTGGAGGGGGGCCATGTCCCGATTTTTCCCTAACCTAAGGTGGCAACCCTGGCCCTAAAAATACTTAAAAATGGCATAAAAATGCTCATCAAATGTCTAAATTTAAGATAATGTTTTAAGGCCATAAGTTAATGTGTGATGATCCTTGAGCTTGTTTCACGAATTAGAAAGTCGTAATTAGTGACATCAATACTAAAAAAATACATCACCGTCAATATGCTAAAATTAATCCGAAGTGTGCTACTGCAAAAAAAGCGTTTTAGGGCATTTTTGGATACATTGTGTTGGTTAGACCTTTTCTTGCATTTGAAAGCTAGGGCCTGTGTCGTGTTTCTCACGTCTAATTCTCACTTAATTTTGTCGTTCCACACTAGACATTTGGGAGCCTGCGGAACCGAACTTTTTTCTTGAATCCATTTGAAACAGGTTTTATAGGCTAAAACATGCTGACAAATTTCACGGTAGGCCTAGTTCATTTTACAATAAGCTAGGCTACTTAACTTTTGTCAAAAATACTTCAATATAAACAATAACAAAAAAGTAAACAATACAAAAAATAAAGTAAAATTGATAAAATAATGGATTGAGCAATCAAATTAAATAATCGATATATTGATAGTTTTAATTAAAAATTTCAATTGAATGAATGTGGTGCCCCAATTAAACAGGTGTGCCCACAAGGGGGGGCTGTGACGCAGACTGCGTCATTGAAATTCTTGGGAGGGGGGGGGGGGTTGCAAAAAATTCAAATGGGGGGATGGCTAAAGTTAATTGCAACAGTGTCCAACGTGACGACAACCAAAAATATATTAGAAAGTCACCACATAGAAAGTTAATTAATTAATGACAATAGTTATATTATTGAACTCAATTAGTTAAAATAGGACTTTAGGATGGTTTAGGATTCGTGTAGGCTACACCGCGACTCAGCACAGAACGCTTTGTTGCCATAAAGATCGTTAAAATACAATCAACAAGTAGCATAGGCTACAATACTTTACACTATTGTGTAGATACTCGATTACCTGAGTTAATAGGGGGGGGGGGGGGTAATGAAAAATACGGTTAACCCAATGGTAGTATACAAACAGATGACAAACCCATTAAAACACTGCAAACAGCCATTGCATAACGATTTGCATTTTTATCAACGAAATTCAATATTGCAGAATCATTATTATTGTGCAATAACGACATTTAAAATCATTTGTCTTGGTTCAGTTGTAGGTACAAACGGCAACGTTTAAAATTATAGCCAACTCAAACTCAACTAATAACCAGCCAAACACCGCATTGCTATAAATAACGTAAATATTTAACCTTAGAAAGTGTTATAAGCTACTGCTCATGATAGACAAATAGGCTACGAGTAGGTAAAATGTATCACAACATAGGAATTGACAGATAAGTCATAAAAAAATTTAAAATTATATTTAGAGATAATAAAAACACTCTTAATAAGGAATGTAACGAGAACATTCTTGTAATTCTTTTTCTTTGTTCTTCTGTTCTTTATTAGGTTTCTCTTCAATTCATACCCAAATTCAACAATTCGCCATATTTAGGCCTACTCATTGCCCAATCACAGCCTTACTAAAGTTACCATATGGTTACTAATCGCTCAATCAAAGTTTACTAAGCATTAAATCGTCATCATTCCCCAGCTGTTGTATCTGAAATCGGTTGTAACATAGCGCACAGTAGACAGAAGTGTTAAAACGGAGCAGGCGATTGTTGGCGGCAAGCGTTGAAGTTGAAGTCATTTTTCCATTTCATTTTCATCAAAGGATCTGTGGTGTTTCCAAAACGATTATGTGGGAGGGAGAGGGGGTCGTTATATCAAGAGAAAGACGCTGACAATTCGTTAAGCAGAGGTTACGAACGCTATGTAGATAGTCTGGCAATAAACATTCCTCAAATTGAGGTGACTTATAAAACTATAATTTTATTTACCGGTATATAGAAAGAAAGGTTTTCCAGACCTGTACAACACCGATTCACGGTCTTTACCCGGTAATCAAAATTCAAGTACAACTTGATACACACAGAATCTCCGGTTCCCCACCTGGATGATGGCTAGTTATTTAATTTAATTTGCAGTTACATATTAGTACCCGTGATAAATCAAACCCGTTATGTAAGCCACACGGTTATTAATCTCAATTGGTTTTGGATTTGCCAAACGTGATTGGAAATGGTTAGCCTACAAATGTAATCGGAAATGGTTAGGGCCTACACAGTATTCGTAAACAAAATTTTTATGTAAACATATCAGTGCCAGCTAGAAAAAGGAATCTTTATCAAAACAGCTGTTCGTAATTTCATATATGACGTGTTCTCCTAACAGATTATTAGTATTTCATAAATGACGTATGTAGTACGGATATGGAGAAAAAAAACTTGAAAAAATCAAACAAAATTGGGATTTTGATAGTCCGTTATTTTATTTCCAAAATAGTGAGGCCATATTTTAATGGCTAAGGACACTCTCGCCAATCCTGTGAATACAATTAAACCATTAGAATCATAATCGGTACTCTAGTTTTCTTTAGAGTAGGCTACGTAAAATGCCTTCCAGGCCGTGACAGACGGACGAGACAAGAAATGTTTTTAACTTTTTTAATGTATAAAACTTAAAAAATAAACCAAAATATGTATAATTCTGAGCAGTGTACAGAAAAAACTTTATTTATATAGATTAACTGGGTTTTAATTTTCAATATCTAAAAAAATGTATATAACTTCTTTTAGTTTTACAAATAATGCTGGGCGGGGCAATAATGTTTCTCATTTATGGGGGGGGGGTGCTCAATTTGGGGGGGGGGTGCGTCATGAGTCTAGGGGGGGATGGGCACCCCTGAATTAAAGGAATTAAAGTGCAGCCCCAAAAAAGTCTTTGTTTGGATACTTGAGCCTCTATTACTCAAAGCTCTCAAAGTGAATAATTGGCCTCATGCTAACCAACCCGTAACTGTAGGCAATTCATATGCCTAAAATAAAACATAGCAAATAAAATATGTCACATAACTTAATGAAATCAATGTGAAAGTGGTAGATTAAGCTTATCCTAGCTGTTACAGTAGACTCCCTCTTATATGGACACCTTTATCCAGACATCGGGTTAACCAGACTGGATTGGCAAAAAGTGGGTAGTACTGAAAGACTTTTCTCGTGGAAAAGATTTGGGACAAGTAATCGTGTGTCTAGTTTTACTATTTTTTTTTGTAGGAATCATTTATTGTCTTATATAGTGTGCATTAGACCATTGTATTCAACACGGGTCGCCGGAAGACTGCCCCCCGGAAAACTACCCCCCCAAGCAGGTTCCTACGTCATATTGACGTCAGAGACTGGGGAGGCAGTTTTCCAGTCACGGACACTCAAATTTAGTTGTCAAACAGTTCTAATCTAACCTAACCTAACCAACCAAACTTGCTGTAATATTTCGAAAATCTGTTTTATATTCACCACATGCCTTTTCTATTATCCAACGGAATTACTCGAATTAAAATTAAAATTACATAGCATGATTTGTCTAGGGGGGGGGGGGTAGTATTGTATTCCAGTCGCGGACACGGCTTCCATATTGGTTAGTTGGCAGATTTTGTGACGTCACGTTTCACCTGGGGGGGTAGTTTTCCGGGAATAGTATTCCGCATCCCCTTCAACACTCCCTTAGTAGATTTGTCATCTATCAGCTGAAGACAATTTTATTGTTAGTTCCGTTCAATGCCGCTAAGATTGTGTTTTTGCTTACAATTGTCTCTCTTTATTTCAGTTAATTTCAGTAAAACGATCTAATCATAAGCAATAACTCGTCTCCTAGTTATATAACCAAACATTAAAGCTCAAATGTTAAAATCTCGATACTACTGTTTTCTCGATACTTGCAACAAGCTTCAGATTTTACAATAGGAAGAGAAGTCTACTTGTCTTGGTTAGTCTATGATTAGACGTTACTGATTTAATGAGTTTTAGGGGACGTTCGTTAAACCGGAAAAGTTGCTAAATCCGGACTGGCCTCGGTCCTGAGGAGTCCTGATAAGAGGGATTCTACTGTGCTTTCCTCATAAAACTTTGTTATTCATAAACTGTACACACATGCTTAAGTTAGTTCAACTTATGTGCAGTTTTTAGCATAATAAATATGTTTTGAATGTATTTTACTTGATGGAAAATGTAATTTCTAAGACTTGTGACTTCTTAGTAGGTAGTTGCTGTCTCTAAACCTCAATTTTAAATAGAGGAATTTATATTAAGCATAAGGCTATTATTCTTTCCTTATTAGTGATTTACAGACTACATACAATTAAATTCATACATCTATATATATAATAGTATTTTAATACTAATTGAATCTCTAACCACATTTACCTTTATATATCGTACGTCTAATTATATGCGTTTGTTTGATCTATTTTACAGATTGATCAACGGTCATTTCTGCAGTCTCTAAAATGTGCATAAAAAGTTTACATTTAGAAAAAATCAAAAAGAGTTATGGATTTCTGTGATGTCAATCTTAGAGTTCTTTATGATTTTGAATACACCACAAAATATGGACGGAAAATCAAAATTTCCTCTGGAGAACGTTTACTTCTCATCAAAAAAACAAATGATGATTGGTGGCAAGTTATACGCAGTTCGGAAGAGAGACCATTTTTCGTACCTGCATCTTACGTAGAAGAAGTGGAATCAAAACAACATGTCCGAGCCAATAACAAAGACCAAAGCAATACCAAATCTTCCATTGAAATATCTTCCAGTAATATGTCACCTATAATTTCACTATCAAGTTCAGATCAAAAGCCCAGTTTGTCAAACTCGACAGGAAATAAGAATGAAGAATGTAACTCAAGTTCATCACAATCATGTTTAGAAAAGGATTCTAAGAAAGAAATTCCATATGTAAATAAAACAAAGGCACTTTCTAGCACGATGTCATCATCGGGATACAATTCACTTGGTGAGGAAGGTCAAACACATGAGGAAGAGGTAATGCCTGAAATATCAAGTAATGATAAAATAAAGCTACACCACAGAAGCAATGACTCAATTGCAAGCACAAATAAAATAGAGCCTGTCACCAACACAACAACTGATAAGAGCCATGATGATGCAACGGCCAATTCACCTACCTTAGATAAAAATTTATCTGGCAAAGTGAGCATGACGAGTAATACAACAGGAGAAACCTTGGTGAGTGAAGTGATTAAAAATGATGAAGATATTAAATGGACGAATACTATCAATACTAAAACAGATTTGGGGGTGAGTTCTCGTCCAATAATTTCAGGTTTAGGCCTACCAGCTTCTGATTCTCTTGAAAATTTATCACTTCAGATAGAATTTAAAACTAACATATTAAGAAACAATCCTGAAAAAAATTTAGTCACTAATTCTGCTATACCGTGCAAAACCGATGCAAAACCGAGTTGTCGTGAAGACGAGTTATTAAAAGGAAGTTCTAATTGTACAGAAGATAAGGTAAAACAGGGATTAAAAACTAAGTGTAGGTCACAATCTTGGAATGAATCGATTGATAATGGTAAAGTAAACATTTCTCCTAACCTCAATGTTGATAATAACAGCTTAAATTATCATGGGAGCTTCAAGACAAGCCCTAACAGACTGAATATGTTAAAAAAAAGTATGAGTGAGAAAACTTTAAAAACTGTTTCGAATGTGGGGAAACCCAATAAAGTATCTGATACTTTAGTGGAAGAAAACTGTGATTCCCATAGCTCTTGTGTGCCTGTGTTGAAGTGTGATACAAATGATATGGTTTGTGCTATTGGAACCAACAATACCACTGTTATTTGCAATAAAGTAAATGATGTTTTGCAGAAATCCGAATACCAGGAAAAAAAATTGCAAAACCGGCAATGCTTTGGAAGCGACAGTCAGTTATCCCATTTAGTGAATTCTAAGGAAAAAACAACTTCACGTTATAGTCTAGACTCTGTTGTAGAAGGTGAATTTAGTGATAATCATTCAAACTTGGCAGCTGCAAACTCTAACAGCAAAGTTTCATCTCTGGTCTCTGTTTCCGGAAAAACCAACTCAGAAAAAAGTTCAAACGATAGTCTATTGGATATTGACATTGAAGGCAGTTTTAGGAAAATATCAGGAGGTACGACATCTGATTCGCTGGTGCCAACAGACGGAGAAGATTTGGTTTCAAGTGGCAGTGAAACAGACTCGGTGAAATTAGCAAAGATTAAAATTTGTGAGTCTAAAGCTGGACACAAGGCTCGAAAAATACCTCTCGTTAGAAAGAGAAGGGTAAGTGTTTCTTGGATCAACCTAACATTTAGGCCTACTTTAAAATATTTTGTTTTGATCAAACATGAGTGTTGATTGAAAAGATAACTAAATAGATAAGTAATACCACTTTTAGATCAGCTAACCAAGAGCAATAACAATGTTTGTATGTATGTATCTTTATTCATAGGCGTCATATTTGTTTAAAAGTAGACCAGACACTGAGATGATTCACAATTAAAAACAGCAAACATAAGTTTTACATGAATAGTAGGTCTATGCTTCATAATAAAAAAATAGGTTTTACTTGACCGTCAAATAGTCCAACGATTATTTTGGCAGAGGTGAAGTAAAACCAATTTTTGTCTTAACAAAATAGTCCAGGGGCTAGAAACCTATGTGTCACATTTCATCTAGGGTATTCTTCGTTCCAAGAAGCTTGACCTTGACCGAGATGTGTCTACATCATAAAAGAACTAAATGCCAAAAACGGTGGGAGCCCTAGGGCTTAAGCCATGTGTTGGCCTGACTTTAAGAAATGTAACAAACAATCCCAGGTTTTTACATTTCCCAGAGTACAGCGGTTTTTTATTGTGCGTAAAAGCATTTTCCCACCTCTCCCTGAAAAAGTGCTAGAAACATGAGTTTTGATGCTTTATAATGTTTTACAAGTTTTACTAAATCTAGTGCTTTGATCCCCCCCCCCCTTTGACCCTTTTGGAAGAACACTAAATCAATATATCAATTTGATTTCAGGTGTTTTCTTATAAGTCCAGACATGAGTTGGGTCAAGAGCCACCGTCTCCTGTGCCACATCAGTCACCTTCCAGAGTTCTGGGCGAAGGCTGGAGTGAGTACGACACCCAAGATGGACGCAAGTTCTTCTATAATGTCCAGACCAAAGAAAAGAGATGGAAGCCCCCACGTCGAGCATATAACACTAGTGTAAGTCTTTTCAAATACTAATTCTCTACCTAGGAAGATTTTTTGAAGATAGCAGGCTTACCCAATAGGAAAGAATCCAAAATGGCACCAGAAACAGACAACTTTACACTACCTATAGGCCTACATTTAAACATTAGAATATTCAGAATCAGAATCTTCATTTTAATTAGATTAGACATAAAATTAGATTCCTATGTTATTTAAATGTGAATTATTTTATTCCGTAACAACTTTTTGGTGCATAGTTAAGAGAAGTGAATAATAAATCAGAATAAATATTTAACTTTATCAGTTATTCTTTTTTTGTTGCAGAAGGAAGATGTAGATGGGGGTGGGGTTGCAGACGACATGTTCGTGGTGAGCATGTCTCTGCCTGTGGGCTGGACCTCTGAGATGGACCCTGTCACTGGACAAGCCTGCTACATCCAACCTGCCTCAGGCGCAAAGGTAAGAATGCTGAAACTGCAATTCATTTTTAAAATCCTTTTTTTTATGTGGCTTTAACTCGTACATTGTTCATTGTCTAAGAGTATACTGTATATTTTTATCCAGCTTTAGTCCTAACATTGCTCATTAAATAAGAAAAGATGGTTATTGGATTTTTTCATTAGGAAATAAAATAACCTAATTAGATAAAATTATTGTTGGAATTAGATAAAATTATTGTTGACAAAAGTCAATGGCAAAACCCAAAAAATAGAAAGCTTTAGTCAAGTGTTACTGGAACCTAGTATACGAGTGATGATCCAGTAAAAGAATGGAGCTGAGGATGGAAGGAAAGGGGCAACCATTGTTAGGTATTAGAACATACCCCCGCTGCAGCAAACCTACAGACGAAGCAAATTTCTATTTGCCTGATTTGATTTTAAGTTATATTCTAAATTATTTGTTGTAGAGCTTAAAAACAAATAACTTAGAATATTGAAGCGTTGTTGGGGTGCCTAATGGTTACAGAGGACATTTACAAAAAATTTAAATTTAAAATTGCTATGTTATTATGGAGTAAGAAAACTGCTTTAGTTTGCTTGTATATCGATACTTTTTGGTCAAACATGGCAAATTTATTATTATTTTGGTATATAGTAAGCTAATATTTCACTAAAAACACATATAAAATTGTTTATAATCAATTATATGAGTGTAAATGTAGGGGCCTTAAATTATGAAACACGCAATGTGACACTTACCGATAAGAGTTGCCAAATTAAACCAGCTGTTTGTAATGAAATGAAATCAACTTTATTCATACTTTGCAAACATGTGCACGAATGGCGTCATTAAATTGGATCAAAATCATAATGCCTAATCCCAAAAAAGTACAAGATATAATCACTATTGAAAAAGTTCTTATTCTAATATATTATGTAGGAGGAAATATTCATTCTTTGAGTACAGGGGATTGGTTAAAAAGTACATTTTTAGATTATTTTTGAATTTTGTAGTCCTTGTAGTCCTTTAATTTTGTTGGAAGAGCATTGTAACATTTTATACCCATACATTGGTTTTTTTTTCCAAAAATCTTAATCTATGGGAAGGTGTTGTATAGTTATTTCTGTTTCTGGTACAGTATTGATGAGAATCCCCTACCAGTGAGACATTATTTGAATTTTGGACAGTATATAATATACATTGATAGATATAATAGCTATATACAGTCATTATGCCTAGTTCTTCAAATTTTTCCCTAACAGAATCTTGCCAATCCAAATTTAACATAATGCGTATTGCTCTTTTCTGGAGAATTTAAATTCTGTCTAAATTAGCTTGTGATGTTCCTCCATAAATACTTATACCAAAGGATAAATGTGAGTGAATATGAGCAAAATAAACCAATTTTAGGGATTCAAGTTTACAAAATTTTGATAATCGATAAAGTGCAAATAGGCCTGTTGACATTTGATTTGCAACATGATCAATATGATCATTCCAGCTTAATTTACTGTCTATGTATAATCCTAGAAATTTAGTGTTCTCAACAATTTGTATATCTTCACCAGCTAATTTTAGTGCTGGGTAATCTGAATTGGTATTAGTTTTTAGATTAAAGCGTGTAAAATTAGTTTTGGAAAGATTTAGTAATAGCTGATGATCTGAAAAAAAGTTATTGATGTTCATCAAGTTATCGATGGCAGATTTTTCTATATCATGAACAGATTTTCCGCTTACAATAAGATTAGAATCATCGGCATATAAACTGATGGTATTCATTATTGAATTTGAAATAACATTGGGTAATCCATTGATATATGTAAGAAATAGTAGGGGACCCAAAATAGAACCCTGTGGTACACCATGTTTAATTGTTCTCAACTGCGATCTTGTTTTAACCATCTGGTTATGATTGTTTAAGTGTGTAATTTCTACAAACTGTTTCCTGTCAGTTAAATATGATTGAAACCATTTTAGTGAAATTCCTACAACCCCTAGTCCTTCCAATTTTTTTAAATAATTTATGATGAGATACACTGTCAAATGCTTTGCTTAGGTCCATAAATATTCCAATTACTATATCTCCCCTATCTACTGAATTTATTATTGACTCAATATCTGTAGCAGCCGCTGATATTACAGAATGGTTTGATCTAAAACCGTGCTGCTCTTTATCGAGTAGATCATTACTTTCTAAAAAGTTAACGAGCTGATTATACATAGCTTTTTAATAAATTTTAGACATGACAGGTAACAAGGCTACTGGGTGATAGTTTGAAACATCTAGTTGGTCCCCTTTTTTATAAAGAGGTTTTACTTTAGAAATTTTTAATTTATCTGGAAATATGCCGGATATAAATGATGAATTTACCAAGTGTGCAAATGGTTTTTTAAGTGAACTCTGGGCATGCTTTATTACTGTTATGGGAACATCGTCGAAGCCTGATGATAGTTTATTATCAAATTTGGAAATTATTTTACTGATATCTGTCTCACTGATTGGTTCACATCTAAATTTATTTTGTTGGTTATTTATTACTAAATTAGGTACTAGTAAATTTGGTGTATTTATTTTTGGAATTACATCAGAATCAACTACATTGACATAAAAATCATTAAAAGTGTTACATATAACCGTAGGGTCATTATATACTTTTGAATTTATCTCTATTTCATCTATGCTCTTCACAACCTTTTTTTTGTTTTTTTATATTTAAATTAATTGTCTTGGACACATTACCTGATCTCAAATTTTTTTCATCCATATAACTTTGTTTAGCTTTGAAAATATTTTTTTTTTAATGCTTTGTTCATTTCTTTAGCTGAAATCACTAAAGATTCATTTTTTGTTATTCTCCCTAATGTGCTTTTTTCTATAATTTTTTTCCTCTCGGTTTCTAGTTCATGATTATTCCAAGGGACTTTTTGATCAGTATCTCTACATATAGTGATAGGAAAGCATATATCAAAGTAATACATAAAAATACTGTTGAAGATGTTAAATTTCAACTCTACTGAAGCAAAGTAGACCTCCTCCCAACCTTCCTGACTCAGCATATTTGAGAATTTTTTAAGATTTTGGTTAGAAAATATTCTTACTGTTTAAGTTATTGGTTTATTGTTCATATTTTTATTGTGCAAGTTGAAGGTTAATAATTGAGCATATAATATTTATATATACTCATATACATATAGATTTATTGAGTTCAAACGTTAAACGACACTTTGAGACTAAACACAAGCCGTTTGATACAAAATACCCAATAGGAAGTGATCTTCGCAAGTCTAAGATTGAGAGTTTACGTTCAAACTACTTAGCTATTACCCAGATATTAAATCGAACAATGACTGCCCAAGAAAGATGTGCAGAGGCTTCTTTGCGTATTTCGTGGACATATGAAACCCTTTACTGATGCCGATATAGTCAAAGAATGCATGATTGAGGCAGGAAACGTGTTATTTGAGAATAAACAAGACGTTGTTGACACTATTCGACGCATGCCGCTTTCTGCATCTATCAGCACACGAAACACTAAAGTTTTAGCAGAAGAAAGTTCTAAAAGCTTGAAACAGATTCTAGCAGCTACAGACAGATACGCTTTAGCATTATACGAATCATGTGACATTACCGATACAGCTCAATTGATTGTTTTTGTGAGGTTTTTGGACAGTAAAAAAGAACAGTTTGTGGAAGAATTGTTAACTATGTTGCCAATATCAGGGCAAACACGCGGAGAGGACTTGTACAATGTTTTAATGGACTATTTTGAGAAAGCTGACTTGGATTTGAAAAAAATTATATCAGTAACAACAGATGGTGCTCGTGCGATGACAGGAAAAAACAAAGGCTTGGTAAGTCGAATGAAAACAGACCCTAAATTTAATGAAAGTTTGCTAGCCTACCACTGTATTATCCATCAAAGTGTGTTTGCAACACAAACTGAATCCTGCTCTTGAAAGTACAATTCAAACTGTAGTTAAGATCATTAACTTCATACGATCAAAGTCTTCACTTAGGCACCGTCAATTCAAATCACTTCTTGAGGAAACTGAAGCACAGTTTGACGATTTATTACTTCACAACAACGTAAGGTGGCTGAGCAAAGGATTTGTACTTCAACGGTTTTTTGCTGTTATGGAGGACATAAAAGTATTTCTTTCAGTGTCTAGTGAAGAAGTTGCAAATGAACACTTGGGCTTCCTGCTTGATACAGAAGACACTATTCCAAAAATAGCTTTCCTGACAGATGTCTTCAGACATTTCAATATTTTAAACTTAAAAATTCAAGGAAAAGGACTTCTTGTGTGTGAACTTCTCTCAGAAATTAGAAGCTTTACGAGAAAGGTTGTTCTTTGGTGTGAAGATATCAGTAACGAACGTGTGCACTTTCCCAGCCTGAACTCAGTTTGTGAAACCGACGACGTTATTGACATGAAACAGTTTGTAAACTTTTTAAACGACCTCAAATCTGAGTTCGAAGCTCGATTTAGTGACTTTGACAAAATAGGGAATGTGGTTCAAGTCCTAAATAACTGTTTTTCTCTAAAGCCTAATGGAGAGTGGACCAATGAAGCAGTAGTAGTTTTGAATTGTAATAAAGCAGCCCTGCAAATGGAAATAATAGATTTTCAGGAAGACATTGCTCTGAAGGACAAATTTAGACAAGTCCCGAAAGAACTGTCGTGTGAGCTATTTTGGATCAAGTATGTGAGCAGTGAAAAATATCCTGAACTGAAAAACTTGGCCATCAAACTTTGTACAATGTTTGGATCAACGTACACTTGTGAGTCTGCATTTTCAAGGATGAACTTTATCAAAAATAAATACAGATCTCGCCTCAGTGACAGCCACCTCAACAACCTGATGAGAATCAGCTGCACAGGACTCATTCCAAACTTTAAAGAAGTGGCCCAGAATAAAAAATGTCATTTCTCTCACTGAGTTTGAATACTCATATGTGAGTAATCTTTATGTATAATTTCTAAGTGAAATTAAATTTTATGACACAATTTATAAT